ATAATAATAATAATAATAATAATAATAATAATAATAATAATAATAATAATAATAATAATAATAACAACAACAACAGCAACAACAATAATAACAATAACAATAACAATGCTGCACTGGAAGTTCTGCAAGAAATACCATTTGCCAGCTAGCAAGAACTGGGAGACTCAGTTCATAGAAAAATGAAGAAATTAAAAAGTCTGGGACTTTAGAATTAAAACACCTTGGACTTTACAACTGTCGATAAGAAAGACACACACACACACAAAATATCTGGATAGTGGATACGGCAGTTCCTGGAGACAGCAGAAGAGAAGAGAAAAAACTAGAGAAGATCACCAATACAAAGACCTTCATTTATAGGAATAGAACGACTTGTGGCACAAGGAAGCCAAGAAGGGACCAATAGCCATAGGCGCCTTGGGTGCTACTGCAAAACAGCTGGAGCACCATTTGAACACTATCGTCGGCATTGACAAAATCCCCATCAGATCCATTGCAAAAGGCAGCGTTCCTCGAAATAGCTTGCATCCCGTGACGAGACCCCCTAACATCATACAAGACATCAACAACTGCCTAGCCCAGCTGCTTGGGAAGGAGTCGATAAGCAGGCAAAAACACCACATCCAGTCTGAACATCTGGCCGGCCGCGGGACCAATCATAACACCAATGAAACGGGGAAGGAAGGAATATAATAAGAAAGGTAAATAGTGCTACTACAACCATACTATGTGGGTTAATATAGAGAGGACTGGGAGTAGTAAGTATTCACCAGGTCAGGAGCATCCTCTGCTCCTCGGCCTCTCTCTAAACTTTCCCAGGAAAGCAGCCTGTTTGGGTTCCTCCCGGCTAAAATTGGGAGTTCAGAGACCATCAGAGGAGAGGAAGCAGGGTGAAGGGACAGAATTCACGTTGCTGAGACCATTAAGTGAATTTTGTCCCACTTTACGACCACAGGGGTTAAGTGAATTGCTGCAGGGGTTAAATTAACCACCCAGTTGTTAAAGTGATTTGGGTTTTCCCAGTTGTACTTTGCCGGTCAGCCGGTCGTACGTGTGAGTCCCAGGACGCTTGGCAACTGTCTCATCAATAGGAGTCGGTTGCCAAGCGTCTGAATTTTGATCGCGTGACCACGGCGACGCCGAAGCGGCCGTTAAGTGTGGAAAGTGGCCCTAGGTCCCTTTTTTGCAATGCCGTTTTGAACGGTCACTGTAAGTCGAGGTCTACCCTGTCGTAAGACTTGCAAAGGGAGCGTGTGCTAAGCAGGAGAAAACACCGCTTAGCGAGGGCGGCTTAGTAAAGAGTGGCAAAGTTTTCCCTAGCGTGGTGGAAGTCACAGAAATCGTGATCCTGAGAGAAAGAGGGCAAGGATCACCAGCGCTTCTTTAAGGCCGGAGGAAGGAACATTCGGAAGGAACGCAGGCGGTCTCTTCTTCCTCCATTCACAGGAGGAAAGTCACTGCAACCGGACCTTCGAGATTTGGTGATGGTCAACCATCTCAGGAGGGAGAAGACAGAGCGCATCCCATAATAAGCCCCCCCCCCCCCCGGCTTAAGGGCTAAATTCAGGCAGCCCCGAGACTGGCAAAGATGCTGGCAGAAATCAGATCAAGTCAGATTAAAGATGGAAAAGGAGCAGCCAGCATCCCACGTTCATCCCTCCGCTAAAATTGCTCTCCAGATACCCAGGAAGGATTTTAGACATCTGGGTATTCACTACAAGTAGTCCTTGACTTACAACCATTTATTAAGTACAGTATATAAAATCATACATTGCAATGGCCTACCTGTCAATGAATACTTCAGCTTCAACCATAACAATACAATAGATACAAACAATAGATACAAACTTAATCGCACCAAACTTGATTGCCGGAAATATGACTTCAGCAACAGAGTGGTCAATGTCTGGAATCCTCTACCTGACTCTGTGGTTTCTTCCCCAAACCCCAAAAACTTTAACCTTAGACTGTCTACTATTGACCTCACCCCTTTCCTAAGAGGTCTGTAGGGGGCGTGCATAAGCGCACCAACATGCCTACCGTCCCTCTCCTATTGTTTCTTTTTTATTCGTATCCATTTCATGTATTCATAATGAATATGTATTCATATGTTTATACCTTTATGTTATCTAATAATCTTTTGACATACATACATACATACATACATACATACATACATACATACATAAATAAATAAATAAATAAATAAAGTGACCGTTTGAAGTTACAATGGCACTGGAAAAGGAGACATAACCACCGTTTCAGCATCCCTGTTTTTACTGCTATTATTATTATTACTACATTTTCTGACCGGGTTTTTCTTTTCTTTTTCTAAACCGGCCTAAGATTTATTTCAGGGCACTGTCATCTCCGTTTCATCCACTCCAAACTTTTGGGAAGCTGTGACGGCAAATTGCTGCTCGGCGTTCGAAAAGTCCCGGGCGGCCTCTCTACCCTGCGGATGGAACTACAACTCCCAAGGTGCCGCCGGGTGGCCCCTTCGGAGAGTTGCAAACCAGGAAGGCTGCCCCCGTTAGGGGAAGGGAACCTTCCGGAATCCCAGAGGGATCTAGGGGAGGCTCCTTCTCGTGTGAAGAAGCAAAAGGCCCTTCCTTGCTTTGGATATTCCTGCAGCAGCTGCATCCCGTCGGGTCTCTTAATTCGGGGGTGTGCGTTTGGCATGCCCCCGCCAGGTGGCATCGGTGTCTCAGCGCCATCTTTCTCCAAGACAGTCCTCTCCTTGTTCAGCCGAGAAATGCTGCCACCCGCTCCGGGGGGGCCGGCTGCAGATATGTGCCCCTTGGCACAATGCAACACTCCTGAGCCAGCCTTGTGTTTGAGGGAAGGGACCCTGCCCATGGAAGGGGAGACTCCTTGCATAAACGAATCCTCTTTGGGTGCCAAAACTTTGGGCACCCTACGATTGCTTTCCTCTCTGCGGAAAAAGCTCCCAGCCCTGGAGAGAGACGTAAATGCAATTCTGCAGCGAAATGCTGCAGTTTAATAGCTTCTTTTGTTGGTCTTCACCAACAAAAGGAAATTTGAGAAGTGGGGGCCAATTGGGACCCAGAATCATAAGGGGGAACAACAAGTATTATGATCCTCCCCACTCCCAGCGCTGACAGGTTGAGAAAAACTTTCTCAAGCTTGAAACATACCCCAGATGTGTGGACATCACAACTCCCCAAATTTTCAGACGTGACGACGTGACAATCATCGAAAAGACGCCTTCCAGAGATATGGAGCTCAGTCTTTCTCAGCTGGCGTGGCCATTTGCTAAGAATTATGGGCATCGGTGACTAAACCCCTGGAGGCTTAGAAGAAGGTAGAGTAGAGGAGGGCTTGGTCCACCTTCTCCAAGTTGTCTGGCATTTCGACGGCCACGTCCCTTAGCCAGCAGGGTTGGGACTCCATATGATTCCTCCTCATTTTGCTTTACCTTGTTTTATATGGATTCTCTACCTGAGACAAAGGCCAGCGGGATGGGGAAAGGTGGTCTCTTCTAACATCCGGATCCAAGAGAAAACAGCGGCGCAGACCGAGAAAGAATGGAACCATGTCGGAGCATCAAGAGAAGCCCGTAAAAATAAAATAAAACGTCCCCAGGGATCTGCAGGGTGGGAGGGACAATGGAAGCGAGGACAGCCGGAGAGGACCATAACTGGACAGCCATGTTCTCTGCACCTTCCAAGCGTGGAATCCCTCCAGGACCAATTATTCACTCTCAAAAGGGTGACAACCAGCCCTTAAAGGGGGAAAATCTACCGGCTTTCTGCAAACTCCTCCGTTTCTCTAGATTCCCCCCCAAATTAAGTTGTGTGGCAGCCAGAAAGGCACCGAAGCTTCAGAGGCAGACCCCTCCCCTCCCACCTTTTCTCCTGCCCTCCTCAAAAGTGGACCAAAATAACTCAAGAGAGAGACCCCACCTGCTCTGCCTTTGTTCCCCCCCACGCAGAACGCCCCCCCTCCAAATTCCCGCAAGGGGACCCCCTCCCGGTCCTGCAGAGCCCCCCCCCTCCCCACAACCTCCTCTCTGGCATCCCCCAGAGAGTTTTCTCTCTCCAGCCTCTCCCCCCTCCCCGGTGGCCAGCATTCTCCTCCATCCAGAACAGACCGAAGCCCACCTTAGGTGCCCAGGGGGGCCGAGGAAGGGAAGAGAAGCCGGAAGGAGACAACGGCACAGGGACACGCTCGCAACGCCCCCTCCCCACGGGACAGAGTTCTCCTCCTGGCTTCGGGCTCCCTGCCTGGGGGAGGGTGGAATGGCCTGAAGCTCTGAGGCTTCTGCTCCCTCCCTCCCTCCCTCCAGCCACTTACTCTGTGAGTCAGCAGAAAAGAGAGGCATGAGAAAACTCCAGCCAGGCTGCCTCGTCCTGATGCAACCGCAGGGAGGGAGGGGGGGGTGTTTAAAACAAAAAAAAAAAACCAGAGAAAGAGAGAGAGAGAGAGAGAGAGAGAAAGCCACATGAAAAGGCCGAATGGGGAAAGCGGCACACACCAGCCAGCACTGCCCCGTGTGTGTGTGTGTGTGTGTGTGTGTGTGTGTGTGTTTCCTCCCCCCCCCCTCTGTTCAAGCCAGCCAGAGGACAAAGCCAAGGAGGGCCCAGATCCCTGCCCCTACCACCCCTTTCTGGAAAGCAGAATTAGAATTGAAAAGCTGGAAGGGAACCTTGGAGGTCTTCTAGCCCAACCCCTCCTGCCCAAGGAAAGGGGCGTTATTTCCCCCCACCCCAACCTTGGCAATTTTAAAGGCTTGGATTTTTAATTCCCCCAGCCAGCTGGGGTGTTGGAAGTTTTAAAATGGGGAGGTGGGGGAACCCCCTGCCGTATCCCATGCTGGACAAAACGGTGGTCCGCTTTGTTCTTGTTTTTGAAAATCTTTTGCAGCAGGTAGCCCGACAGAAGGGCACCTGGCACTTGGGCTGAACCTCACGAGCCAATGGGAGAAGGTCACGGTGGGCCATGTACTGAACAGAGACCGCAGCTGAGCATGGATGTTCTCGCACACCCCAGTGCCACAACCTTGGCTTAGCCAAAACTTGCCACCACCGCATCTTCTGACACCGCTCCGTCGCCAGAGACTGAATTAACACGATATTCCTAGATGTTTCTTTCAAAAAGAAGAACAAAAATCCAACCATGGAGAGAGCCCAACGGCTGCCCAGATGTTCAGCCTCTTTCTCTTGACCCTCATCTGCTGCCTTCCAGATGTTCCAAGAGGCCGTGTTCTCCGGCTTTGTGCCCTCCCGATGTTCTTTGGGAGAGCATCGGGCCTCTCTTATTTCTAGCCAACACGAGCGAAGGCTGTGGATTTGGGGAGCTGGAGTCCTGTCATTTATAGAAGGCTGGGCGTGCGAATGGCTAAAAAAGGCTGGCCAGAAGATGGAAGGTCAGGGGGCCCTGAGGAGACCCTCAATCGGAACCTCGCCCACTTCTTTCCGTTTGCAAACTCTCCTTCGGACTCTGCTGGAATCTCCATCACTGGATGTCTAAGGACTACAATTCCCAGGATTCCTCTGGCTAGCTGGACAACATCTGGAGGGCATCAGACTGGGCAAACTGCTCCAGGACACCCATCCTCTCAATAGGGTAGGCAACCACACATGGCCTTTGGTTGTTTTCGAGCAGCCCCTCCGAAAGGCATGAGCTGCCGGTATTCTTCCTGGGCGCTTTTGATGTGTCATTGTGGGTTTCAGATCCTTAATTTCATACGATTTCTTCAGCGATGTTTGCGCTGTGGTTTCTGAGATGGACAATCAGATTGGGGGAGAGAAGGCAAGAGGCTGTGGGCAAGATGAATGCCAAGCTTCTTCTAGTTGATAGGATTTTGTGTTATATCCAGAATTGGTAACTCTGGAGAGCAAAACACAACTCTCTTAACCCCCCAAAGGTCACAACCTAAACAGGAGTGCCCAACCTTGTCAACTTTTAAGACTTGGGGACTTCAACTCCAAGGATTTTCCAGCCAGCCATGAGCTGAAGTCCACAAGCCTTAAAATGGCCAAGTTTGGACACTGCTTAAAAGCATACAACCTCCGGGATCTGCCTTGTGCACAACGGTCTAATGGCCATCAGACAGACTTGGGTCTACAACGTCTAAACATCCACAGTGTTGGTAGAGGTAGCTCACTTGAAATAACAACCCAGGGTTTCACCCCAAAACATGGACAGTAGTGAAGAGGTTCCCCCAAGAAGAGCCCTGATAGTGATGGTGGAATCAACCTGGCCACCAAACACAGAATTTATTTTCACAGGAACTGGGTGTGGCTAGTTAGTGAAGAGAAGGACCAAGGGAGACAGGATAGAGGTCTTCCAATATTTGAGGGGCTGCCACAGAGAGGAAGAAGGGCTCAAGCTATTTCCCAAAGCACCCGAAGGCCAGACAAGGAACAAATGGATGGAAACTGAACAAGGAGAGATTCAACCTGGAAATAAGGAGAAACTTTCTGACGTTGAGAACAATCAACCAGTGGAACAGAAGTTGTGGGAGTGCCATCACTTGAGACTTTCAAGAAGAGATTGGACTGCCGTGTCAGAAATGGTGCAGGGTCTCCCGCTTGGGCAGGGGGTTGGACTAGATGACCTACAAGGTCCCTTCCAACTCTGATTATCTGTTATCTGTTCTTGCTGTAGAAGGCACCAATTCTGGTCCCACTATACGTTCCTTCAAGATGGTGAGTTTCAAGCCACTAACTTCTCAGAATATTTTTTTTTCTTTTATGTACACTGAAAGTATTTGCACCAAGACAAATTCCTTGTGTGTCCAACCACACCTGGCCAATAAAGAATTATATTCTATCTATTCTATTCTATTTTCCCATGATCCTTTCCAACCATCTTTCCTGTTTTAAAAGCTCCCCTTTGGCATCACGTTGTAAACAACACGGGGTTTCAAATATTTTTTTTTCCATCACTCTGGCCAACTCTTGACCCGTGTCCTTCCAGACCATGTCCTTCCAGATAAAGGCAGGGTCCTCATCTCTGGTGGGAATCTTCCACCCAATGATTGGAAGCAAAAGTTCCCCAGGAATCATGCAAAGGTTGAAGTTTAAATGTTCTCCATCCCATCAAGTCAAACAAACACAGTAAAAATACTTTTAAAATACAACCAAAATAAAGGAAAGAGTTTTTTTAAAAAAAGTACAAGAAAGCACTTTGTATTAAACTACCATTTAACCACCTTGCAGGCTCCCTTCTGTCATGAGATTTCCCCAGGCCGGTGGATAAAACCACATTTTGAAGGCCTTCTTGAAGATGAAATAAACATCCAGCAAAGGAACAAATAATAGGGAACAAGTCAGGCTATTGACTTAGCTATATTATCTTTATATAAAACTCTACCCTGCCTGTCTAATGCAGATGTATCTCTCAGGGATTACATAAGCTAATAAAATGCATTTAGGGCAGAAAAGAAATCTCGTTACGAAGACATTTTAAGAAGCGTGTGGCACAGCTTCCAACCGTTTCTCGACATGGCTTGCTGCAAATTCCCCCCCCCTCCCAATCGGGCACCGGACTAGCATCTTTGGACCCACGAGCCTCTAAACTCTGCTACCCACATGGGAATTTGGATCCTTGGAGCAATGACAAAACTGATTTATGACCAGTCCTCGCACTTACGACCGTTGCAGTATTTCCCCACGGCCACACGCTCAAAATGCACGAATGCAAATCGAGGATTGGCACAATTCCCAGCCAGTTCCAACATGCAAAGTCAATGGAGGAAGGTGTATTCTCTTAACAACACCATGATTCACTTAATAACCATGGCAAAAAAAAGAGAGAGAGACTGTAATATCTTACTTAACAACCCCGTTGCTTAACAACGTAAATTCTGCTCCCAATTATTGAACGTACATCAAGGACCGGCTGCAATCTTTTAAGCTTCATATTTGCAAGCTCTTAATAAAAATATTGGGATTCTTGCAGGGGTTTTTGTTCCTGCGTAAACTTTTTCAGTTTCTCTTCCAGCTAGGCTGAAGTCGAGACTTTTTTTTTGCTGACCAGAGAATGGAGGCCGGCAAAATACTTTCATTTTCTTTTGATTCCTGGATGGAGCTAAAGAGGAAAATTGCCACGCACCTGCCCGTTACCCACATCGCTCAAAAACCCAAGAGGTGTTTGGGGTGGGTAGGTGGGAATAAATAAATAAATAAAAATTGCAATGCGCAAACGAGCATTTTCAAAAACAGCCGAGGAGGCCGTGCCCACCGCCGCGTTTGCTTGAAGGCAGAGGAGACGACATAACTCAATTCATCTTTAATATTCATAGCTGGGTTGATTTGCATGTTGTGCCATAAATAGTCGAAGCCGAGGTGAAATATGAGGTGCCCCACTTGCATTCCTAATTCTGCCTAAAATCAAATGTTCTTTATCTCTTAGATGGGCGCTGTGATTTATGCCCCTTTCCTTGCAACTGCAGGATTCTTCCTTCCTTCCTTCCTTCCTTCCTTCCAAGGCTGCCTTACCTATGCAGCAAAAGCCTCTGCATCTGCTCCAGGGAGAGCAGCTCCCTTGCTGGGATCTCATCCTTAATTTGGGAAGTTACAGGGATCCTGCACGAACCCCACCCAAAAGCCGCGGTCCGTGAAATTACAGCTAACTCTCAACATACAACAGCAACGGAGCCCAAACTCGCTGACTGAGACATTGGTTAGGTGATTTTCCCCCCCATTTTTCTGAGCACAGTCGTTCAACAGATCCCTGCAGCGCTTTCCCTTTATTAGGATCCATTTCCAGGCCCTTGTTTGATATCCTGTATCCCAAATAGTCCAAAGATGTGCAATGGAACTTGCACTTGGACAGTTTTACATACAATTTAGCGTCGAGTAATTTAGTTAGGACGCTTCAAACTAGTGCGGCATGTTCTTCCATCGTTTTTGTGTAAATTAATATATCGTCAAGGTACACCAATACTCCGCGGTATAAGTGTTCATGCAACACTTCATTGATAAGCTGCATAAATACCTCTGGCGCTCCCTGTAGTCCGAATGGCAAAACGTTAAAATAGAAACTGCCAAGGGGACAATTGAAAGTAGTATTCGGACACAATATGCCTCACACAATTCCATTCGACCCCACGTCCCACACTGGAACTCAATTGTTTGGAGCCTCTAACCCGTGTCCCTGATATGCCTATTACATCTGCTAATGAAGAGTCGGACCCCTTCGACTTTGCAAAAGGGGATGACGTGACACCGCAACCGTCATAAATACAAGTCAGTCGTCCAAAGCATCTGAATTTTGATCCACGTGGCCATGCGGGTGCCGCCGTGGTTTTAAGTGTGAAATAAGTCACATTTTTACTTAATTTGAATTGCTGCAAGTCGGGGACAACCTATAGATGCACACAAAGAATATATAGGGAAAAATAT